ATTCTGGCCTTTGGCAGTGCTTCCAGGATAAAAGTCTGCTTCCTGGGTCCTTGTGAATAGTCTCAACAATATATTTTAAAGTGAGGACACCAACCACACCAGATAGTATTAAGGATGGAGCTGGCCATATGAAAAGGGCCACAAGTGTGCTTGGAGGGCAGGTGCTTTTGGTCACCACCACTCCCAGGGCCTGGAGATCGGCCACTCAGTTTCACTCAATCGGCCAGGCCTGAGAAGTGGAACTGCCATCTTGTGTCTAAGTTGCCATGTTTGAGATTTCTGGGTGAAAATCAAACAGTCTGACAGTCATTTGGTGACTACAAAAAAAAAAAAAAAATCTGATGAGCGTGACAACAACCCCCATGCTACTGAGTGCTGTCTGAAGATTTTCTGCCCAGCAAACATGGCCAAATGGACAGCATGTCTCATGTTCAGATGGTACAACCCAGTGAAGTGGGGACTGAGGACGCAGGAGAAAGACAGCCATGACTGCCCTGATCCTCTTGCATGCATGGGGTAGACCACGTGGGCAAATGACAGTGGGTGATGTGAGCAGTGTATTCATGGTGGTAGGGGTGGGTGGGAGGTGGGCTGTCGGGACATTTAGTTATTGATGTCTGTGTTTTCCTTCCAGTAGGAAATGGCCATCAATGGGGAGGAGTGGATGGAGGTGTAGGATCATCTTCCCAAAATGTAGAGACCTAATGGACACAAGAGGCAGAAAGGGTTGCCAGGAGTAGTATAGATTATATCTCCTTAAGAGCGGGAGGGGCATCACAGTGACGTGAACTGGCCTTTTCCCCACCCCCATGTACACACAGCAGCCTTGGATTACAAGTCCCAGTGCACCATGAATCAGACATTCTGTTTGTATATAACTGAACACGTGGCCTTGGGATCGTGCTTCTGCAGCCTGACTTGTACCCAGTACTGCTGGGAAGGAGACTTAAGGAAGGAGACATGGATAAGATGTGGGGAGACTGACGATGGCAGCCATTCTCTTGATGTGGTATCTCTTGTCCCAGTTCTTTAGGACCTGCTTGAGAACCCCTTTCCTGTGGTTTTATACCAGAAGTTACCTTAGACTGTGGCAAGCTTTGAACCTAGCTGGCCTGCTTCAGGTCAACCTTATTTGGCTGAGCATTTGCCCAGGAGAAGGGAAATTTTGAGGGCTTTATTGGTAAATTATTAGGAATACCCTTTCTAGTCTTCTTTGTGCACGCCAAATCTAGTAAAGATCCATTAAAGCCAAGAGTGTATCCTTTGTTTTTGGCAGAATCCCTTTAGAGAATGCACCCCTTACTAGTTTCCGCTAACAGGAGGACCACGCTGCTGCAGAATCTAGTCTCCCCAAGATGCGGTACATTTTCTAGAGTCACATTTATCCAGGACATGTCTGCCTGGCAAGTGTGCAGTATGAGGAAGGGACTGAGGGGAAGGTGCTCTTGAGGTGTGAGCACAGCCACCAGTCAGTGGGGATGGTGGGGTGTAGTTCCAACCAAGCACGGTAAGGTGAATTGGGTTGGGATCCTAGCAGGAGGGAGTCAGCGCTGTGGTGTGCCGGAGCAGGCCGCCTGGATTGAGGTTATGAAAGGTGGTGGTGACTGACCAGGCACCGGGGGCAGACTGCAGTCATGGAATCATTCAAGAAGACATGAATAAAAATAAAATAGACAAGGCTAGAGTATTAGGACATTGCACATAATCAGAATATGTATTAAATCATGAAACTTTTTTTTAAAGGTTTATTTAGGCATACAAGAACTGGGGTATAGGCCAGAGGTGCGGGGGGTGAGAGGATTCACCAGAGACAGAGTGGGGAACAGAACAGGCAGACTGACTGAAATACACTGCTGAGGGGAGCAGTGGGCATGTGGGTAGCTCCCTGACCAACCAAGGATCAAGCTCCTGCTGCAGAGCCTGCAGATAGTTTTAGAGTGCTGTGTTTAACCCTTGCACCACCAGGGAGGCCCTAAATTGTGTGTACTGGATCATAATGGAATTGTTTTGCTAATTTTTAGTGATAAAATATGTAATAACAGTTGTCATTACAACCATTTTAATGTGTAAATTTAGTGGCGTTAAATTCACAGTTGTGCGACCATGACCACTATCTAGTCCCAACATTTTTCATCACCCCAGACAGATTTGTTCAATTTTTTTTAAACTGGTCATGCTACAGAATGCTTCTCCATAAGAGGGATAGGAGCATGGCAATGTAGTGAAAGGGAGCTGTTTCCTGCCCCTACTTACTTACAAGCCTCCACCTCAGATTACAACTTCCTGTAGGCCATTAACCAGACTTCCTACAAGGTGCTAGGTTAGATGAAGAAGAAAAAGGTGGGCAGTGTGGTGGAATCATAGGGCAAAAGCGGATGAGATTCTTTTTTTCCCACTACTCACTGCCCTGATAGTAGTAAGTTGTGTTGCCCCCTGGTGGGGCTGAAGAGGAGCCTGGGGCCCTGAGAGCATGGGCTCATCCCCCACCTTCAAACAGACCTCTACAGCACGAGTTCCTAGCTTGCTCTAGCTCCCTCTCCACACTCCCTCTGTAAACAAACCCTATGCTCTGTCAGCAGCCCCTCTGTAAATCCTTTTTTTGTCTGTTTGGGGTCCTGACCTTTTGTTCTGGACAGGATTCATGAATGGAGCATTGTGGTATTGCTCCCTTGCAGACATAGTTTAAAACACTTGAAAGGGGGCCTCCCCGGTGGTGCAGCGGTAGAGCCCTGGGTTGCGAAGCTGCCCGCGGCCTCTGCGGCGCTGGTTCAATCCCCGGCTGCTCCCCGGCCACCGGAGGAGGGTCCCACATGGCGCGCAGACCTCTCCTGCTGCCCGCTGCTCCCCTCAGCAGTGTACTTCGGTCCTTCTGCCTGCTCTACTCCCTGCTCTGGCTCTGGTGAATTCTCTCACCCTCCTGCGCTTCTGACTGTACCCAGTGCATGTATAAACAAAACAAACAAATAAATAAATAAATAAAACATGCAAAAAAAAAAAAAAAAAAAACACTTGAAAGGTCAGTGGTCAATAAGGGGGTCAGTCCCTGAGGTTGTGCAGATAAGATTCTTGCAGGAGAGGGGGCTGTGAACCCACAGGCTGAGGCACAGGAAGGATGGGCCAAGATTACTGAGCACATGGTGATGACTCGTGCTCTCAGGGAATGCTAACTCTGCAGGAGCCATGCTAGGAGCCATAATCTACAGAATAGTGAATCTGGTCCTAAAATTTTCAAATGAAGGGGTTCTGCAGAAATAATCGAAGTGCCAACCACCACATATAGTTATTTAGGTATGTTAAGTTTAATCTTGCACACCCACGAATGATAATTGAAAAAAAAAAATACAACAGAAAAATGCCCCATTAACTATTAGGAATGTTTCATTACAGGAGGACTGAGTAAAAATATTTGTAAGAGCAGAAACAGCAAAAGCCCAATATTTAAGATAATCAAAGGAAAAATAAAATTTGCAAGATACCCAGTTGGATATTGAAGGAGACCGGAAAAGCTCAACAGTGAGAAGGATGCTAGCCATCAGGTGGAAAGCATCTTCAAACCTTGCGGAGTTCCCACTGTCAGGCAGGTTTGTGGAAACCTAGAGTTGGAGACATCGCTAGAAAGGCTACATGGTGGCAAATGTTTATCCAGTGGTGGGTATCCAGCCGCAGCCTCAGAAATAAAATAGGTGCCCACCTAGAGACACGGAGAGATCGTTACAGATACACTGGATTGCAAAAAAGAAACAAGGAGGTCTAAAGGGTGCTAATATGTATAAAAATATTATATACGTTGTGACCCCCAACAATGAGGGTTTTAAAAATCATGCATTAGGGCCTCCCCGGTGGCGCAGCGGTTGAGCGCTGGGTTGCGAAGCTGCCCGCGGCCTCTGCGGCGCCGGTTCGATCCCCGGCTGCTTCCCGGCCACCGGAGGAGGATCCCGCATGGAGCGCAGACCTCTCCTGCCGCCCGCTGCTCCCCTCAGCAGCGTACTTCGGTCCTTCTGCCTGCTCTGCTCCCCGCTCTGGCTCTGGTGAATTCTCTCACCCTCCCGCGCTTCTGACTGTACCCAGTGCATGTATAAACAAAAAACAAACAGAGAAAACATGCCTCTATAAAAAAAAAAAAAAAAAAAAAAATTAAAAATCATGCATTAAAGAAAAACCAATCTATTAAGACTGTGAGACCAACGAAGTAGACTCGAGGGGCGCGCGCGTGTATGTAGAACAGAACTAGGGGCCAGATACCGACCCCCGGTTCTCGGGAGGCGTGCTTTGGGGAGTTTGTGGGGTGCAGTCAGACAAGGCTAGTGGGAGGACTCGGGACTTGAGGGGCTAGGACGTGGGGGAGTCCAGTCCGGGAAACCCTGGTCCCCGACACCGCCGCCCGGCGCGCAGCCGCCCCGTCCAGCCCCCAGAACACTACGAGAGCGCGGACGGCCCGGACTCGGGCAGACGCGCCTGGTCCCTCGGGGTGAGGGCCAGCGTGTACCCGGGCGCCCCGCGCACGCTGGGAAGCGCGGAGGACCCGGCGGCCCCCGGAGCGCGGGCCACAGCCCAAGCGCACCCGACTCGCGCCTGCGTGCTACACCCCGCGCGGCCCCCCCGCCCCGCGCCGCCCCGCGCCGCCCCGCGCGGGCAGCCCGGGCTCGGCCCTCACAGGTTGACTCCGAGGCCGCGCTCTTGGGCCGGCCAATGGGAGTGCGGCGCGCCCCGAGGCCCCGGCGGCCCCGCCCCGCCCCGCCCGCCCCGGCGCCGGCGGCGGAACGTTCCCGGGCGGAGCCCGAGGGGCGGGGCCCGGGGCGGGGCGCGGGCGGCGCAGCGCACTGATTGGCCGGCGCCGCGTTCCGAGGCCGTTAACGGCGGCGCGGCCGGACCGCGGCTCCAAAACAAAGGGCAGCGGCCCGGGGGGCGGCGGCGGGGGGATGCCTCGCGCCCTGCCTCGCTGCCAACGGCCGCGGCGCGTTCGGGGCCCAGCCGGAGTCGCTTGAGATCCGAGCCCGCGCTGACCGAGGCCCGGGCCGGATGGGCGCTGCGGGCCGGGGTGCGGACCGCCGAGCGGCCGTGAGTACGGGCGGGCCTGGGCTCGGCGCCCGGAGGCGCCGCGGCTGCGGGCGGGCCCGGGAGGCACCTGTTGGGCGTCAGAGAGCGGCGGGCGGGGCGCGAGCGGGCCGGACCCCACCGTATGGACGCGCCAACTTGGTTTTTCGATGTGTTGATATTTGGTTCACTCCCTAGCGGGGCAAGCCGAAAAACTAACCTCCGATTCCTCCCCTTCTTCTTCTCTCCCCCCTGCCCTCGCCCCAGTCCGGCCACGAAGCAGTTCACAGAGACATGATCCAGATGCCTGGTGATGAAAGGCTTTTTTCATCTTAAAAAAAAAAAAGAGGCGGGGGGATTGCGTCTGGGGAGGGAATGAGAACCTAAGAGGGTTCCTAGGGCTGGCCCTTAGATTGCCCGCGTGAAGACCGACCGAAAGGAGTTGTCCTCTGTGCCCGTTCGCCACTTGTGGCGCTGGGGCCTGTTAAACAGCGGGCAAAGCCTCAGCTCCCGCAACCTGCTTAAAAAGAAGAAAGGCCTCCCTCCCCCAAGCCTGCCTCTGATAGGCATCTCTGATGTTTAAATTATGTGCTGAATCCTAGGTCGGAAGGAAGGCTGGAACTCCCTTTTAGGTAGATAATGACAGTGTGTTTCCCCACCCCAAGCCTTCTCTCGTCCATTGCATTTATTCATCCTCTTGGATGCAGGATGTACCCACATTAATCGGCTGTTTTCTTTGGCAAGAAGGATTTTCTTTGCACTCAGCAGCCCCTCACTCTCCTCAGTTTCTACCCAAGCCTCAAGATGAGGCTTACCTCCATTGGGAAAGTTTAAAGTTGCTGTACCTGAGCAAGCTGTCCCTCTCCCATCACCTGCGTTCCCTCTGGAGTTCTAGTAGATGTGAGCCCCTGTCCTGTAGCAGGAGCTGTGCTTGTTGCTGGTGGTGTTCAGTCTTATAATCCTGCACTGGTTCCTCCTGTCCCTAGCTCTTGGGGGACAGCACTGGCGTGTATGTGGGGTGCCAGTCCAGACACTCTCCTAAAACTGTAGGCTCCCTCCCCTTGCATCTCACGGGGTTACAGTATCTCCTACCTGTGGGAATCCATCAGGGCTAGGACCAGGGCAGAACTGTGTTTTAAACAACCAGGTAGCACAGGGTCTGGTCTTTCGGGCACTCAAAACATAATAATAACCAAATGAACTTAATTACCAATCTGAGCAACAATCTTTCTGTGCTCTACTTAAAATTCTTATTTTGGAATTAACTTTAGATTTACTTGAAAGTCACAGAGATAGTCCAGACAGCTCCAATATGCCCTGTGTCCGGGGAAAACCACAGGCACTGCAGGAGATGCTGCCCCTGTTTCCATTTGAAAGGCTGAGGACTAGACCTAGAAGATTGCCTCCCCCAGTCTGACAGATGGTACATTTGTCAACATTAAAAACTGACCTGGGTGCATTCTTTAAACTCCAGATATTAAGTCTTAACATTTTTGAAGCATTAAAATATCTAAAGCTCTCTCTAGTGCTGTCCTTTGATTCTGGCCTGTCTTTACTAAGTTCCACAAAAATCCTGTGTCAGGGGGCAGGAATGGACCCATATGGAGAGGGGAAGGAGCTGTCATATCATTTTAATGTATTTTTTTTCTCCCCAGGAGACTGTTAAATGGAAAATTGTTTAGAATAAGAAATAATAGAATCCCTCCTGCTTTCAGGCCATAATCTGACACAATTAGAAATTCATTTGATTTAAATTTTTTAGAAACATTGTTCCATCTGCTCGGTAGTGGGAATTTTGCTATGAGATTTGAGGAGAGTTGGAGCAAGTTTCAAACACCAGGATATGGGAGCCGGAGCGCTGCAGCTTCTGGAGTGAGTAGTTCAGGTGCATTCAGGAAAGAAGTTACCATTCCTCCCGTGATGGACACCTGGCACTGCTGAGGACCTGTCTGCTTACAGTAAAATGGAAATGCTGGAGCCAACCTACTGTCATTCACACCCCAGAAAGGGCCCTCCACCCTGACACCGGCAGAGCCTCAGGACCAGGATTCCCAGACCAAGAGTTTGGAGATGTTGAGAGAAACTTGCTAAGCCCGTGGGTCCTGCTGTACCAATCTTGTGTGATTCCCTGGACTCCCTTGTGAATCACGTGTTAGCCCCATTTTGCAGATAAGGCAACAGCTTGGGCACCAAATATGTGATACAGTTGGAGTCAAGCCCTCTTAGGATTTTTTTTTATTGTTCACCATCCCTTGTTCCCTCATGGTGCCCTTCCCTGATTTGGCATGTTCTCCTGTGAACAGTAGTCCCTTTTTTTTTTAAGATTTATTTATGTATTTATGCATGCAAGAACTGGGGTACAGGCCAGAGGTGGGGGGTGGTGAGAGGATTCACCAGAGACAGAGTGGGGAGCAGAATAGGCAGACTGACTGAAATACACTGCTGAGGGGAACAGAGGGCAAGACAGGAGAGGTCTGCTGCACCATGTGGGTAGCTCCCTAGTCGGGAATTGAACTCATGCTGCAGTGGCTGCAGATAGCTTCACAGGTTGCATCTTAACCCCTTGCACCACCAGGGAGGCCCGCAGTCCCTTTTCTTGACTCTTCTTTGCTTCTGGTTTTCCCTTCCCTTGCCTTAATTCAGGGCTCTTTTGAGTATTTGGTTATGTTTTGGCATGTGATTAATAAAAATAGTTTAAGATTCCCAACCTCTTTCCTACTGCTTCAATATAGTCTTATAGGTCTAGTCCTCACCCTTCCAACTGAAAAGAAGAGCTGCTTCTCCTATGTAGTTTCTGTGGTTTTCCCTTTAGTTTGTCATGAGCGCAAGGATGTGCTCCAAGGCCAAGACCTGAAAAGCTTCACTACAATGGGAAAAGCAAAAAAGACCACAGCTCAGGGACCTCTCAGGTGGCCTAGGGGTTCAGTCCCAGCGCCGTTGCCATAGTTCAAGCCCCGGCCAAGGAGCTACCCGCATGGCGCAGCAGACCTCTCCTGACTCGCCCGCTGCTCCCCTCAGCAGTGTATTTCAGTCAATCTGCCTGTTCCGTTCCCCACTCTGTCTCTGGTGGGTCCTCTCACCACCACTAACCCCCCACCCTCCCCGACTCCTGGCACCTCTGGCCTGTACCCCAGTTCTTCTATTAAAAAAAAAAAAAAAAAAAAAAACCAGCAGGTTCAGTGCAGCGCTGTGAAGCTGTTTGCAGCCACTGCAGCGCGGGTTCAATTCCTGGCTGGCCAGGGAGATTCCCACATGGTGAGGCAGACCTCTCCTGTCTCACCCGCTGCTCCCCTTCAGCAGTGCACTCCCCTTCAGTCAGTCTGCTGTTTTGCTCTCCACTCTGTCTCTGGTGAATCCTCTCACCCTTTTGCACCTCTGGCCTGTACCCCAGCTCTTGTATAAATAAATAAATCTTTAAAAAAAACAAAACAAGGGCCTCCCCTGGTGGTGCAGTGGTTGAGCGCTGGGCTGTGAGGCTGCCCTCAGCCTCTGCAGCGCCAGTTTGATCCCCGGCCACCGGCAAGGGTCCCACAAAAAAAAAAAAAGGCAAAAAAAGACCGCTCATTGCACTCACATTCAGGAGTGGTGGGAGGCCACAGAGGCAGGACTGAGGATGGGCTGGAGGAGGAAAGGAGAACAAGAGCCAGCGGACAGGGGCACCCAGGTCCCTTGCATTCCCCAGAGAAGCAGGAGCTGATAGGAGCACACAGGGGACCAAGGGGGCTTCAGCTAAGTACAGCTGGCTGGTGGTGGGACTGCAGGAGTCTTCTTCCCCTCCCAGGGGCTCCAGTGCTCCCCCAAGGCTACAGGTACTGCAAAGTGGAGAAAAGCTCTTCATCCAGTAATTCTGTAGGGAGAAGTGTGTGAAAGATAGGCTGATACTGCTGGAAGCACATTGCACCCATGCCACTGTCCTTTGATGCCCATCTTTTCTGACTTGTCCATGCCTGTGTGTGCACTTGCTGTTTGTGTGTGAGCTTCAGAGTCAGTATCTACATTTGGTATCAAAATTAAGAGTTACAAAAAACCCAGAGTGAAAAGGAAGTCTCCTCCCCTGCCCTTCATGCAGGCGCCTGGAGGCCCACATTGGAAGTATTTCTGCTTCATGCTTATCAGTGCATTTGACTAATCTCTTGATCAGACTTGAGGTGGTTCTAGTTTGTTTGGTTTTTTTAACAGGCAATATTGTAACAGTCTTTATCCAGTTATTTGTACTCTTGCAAATCAGTCCGGATTAATTCCTGACTTGGACCCTTGGTCCAAGCACACATCTAAGGATGTGTGCTTTGGAGGCTGACCCTGCTACCAAATGGCTACCTTACTGGAGGTGTTACCAACTTTTTTTGCATCTCTGCCAAGCTGCTAGGTTGTAATACAGATATCAGAGCACCTTCCCTTTATATCTGTGAATGGAGTAACACCTGTTCTCACGACTACAGGCACATTGGTTCAGGGTGTCAATGCTCCGACTTTGAATCCAGTACCAGAGACTACTACCTGTGCAACCCTGGCAGGTGTGTTAATATTTCTGGGCCTTGGTTTCCCTGTATGCACAGTGTGAATAATCAGACCCATCTCTCAGGGTTGCTGTTAATTCTTGTGATTCTCAGTCATCTGCTTGGAATAGTGCTGGCCTCAGTTGTGAGTCTCAGTGCTAGCTGCTGCATTTCCTTTTCTCTTATGAACATTGATGGCCCTACATATGCTGCCTCTCTGGACTTTGGCTTCCTCCAAACACAGGCTGGACAGGGCAGGTCCATGGGATGCATGCTCTATGTCTTTTTTGAGCAGCGTTCTTTCCCACTGCTTCCTTACACCTGTATCCACAGAACACCAGAAATATCACCAAGCCCAGTGGAGCCTCTACTTCCCTCTCACACCAAAGAGCTTGCTTCTTTCTCTGACCATTGCTTCCTTTCCTCTTCATAGGGTGAAGTGGAGGCTGAGACTCGAATTTACCTGTGAGGTAGTATAGTGCTGGGAGGAAAGGAAAGCAGCTACGGGAAAAGAGAGAATGGGGCACC